CCCATCTTTCTCGCCAAGAAGCAGTTAGCGGTTTCAAACTACAGATCTTGCTGTTAACAGCCCAGCATTTAACCTACTAGGTCACCTATGTTTTATAGACAAAGGGAGTGAGGCAGTAGACATTAGGAAGTATCAGAGTTGGGCTTTGAACCCAGGAATTGTGGTATATATCCTTCCATAACCATAGGGTAAAATTCACATCACTTCTCTATAAATATGGAGATGAAACAGAATGTCGTATGTCCTTTTTGAAGGGAGCATGCTGCCAAGCTACAAGCTTTAAAACTACCAAACTCAATATTTTCTTTCGCTTTCATTTATAGATTAGACACATGGGTAGGTGATCCTTGTCAGTCATTATATTGACTACCGGTGGCCGTGTAACAAAGAACCCCTAAAATGTAGTAGCTTAAAGCAAGAAACATCATTATCTCATGGTTTCCATGGGTGAGAAAGTCAGAAGTGAGGCTCCTGCATGTCGGTCCTGGCTCCAGGTCTCATGGATATTTGTGATCAAGCTGGCAGCTGGGGTCACAGTCAGCCGAAGGCTTGACTGGGGTGGTAGACCCTTTCCAAGGTGACTGCTGCTCTGGCTGCTGGCTGGGGAGCTCTGTTCTTCATTCATACACCTCCCCTCACCACTGGAGAGTTGGCTTCTCCCACAACAAATGACCCACGAGAGAGAAGAGATCAAGCAATGCAGTCAGGGCTTTGATTGGGCTGCTAACTGCAAGGTCAGAAGTTCAAACCCACGAGGGGAGAAAGATGAGCTCGTCTACTCTTGTGCAAACTCCAGTCTTGGAAACATGAAGGAGCAGTTCTGCCCTGCAGGGTCACTGGGAGTCTGGATCAGCTCAATGGCAGTGGGTTTGTGTGTTGTTATTATTATTCTTTTCTCTGGCGTTTTGCAGCATCATTTCCTCTTTGTTTTTTTATTTAAAAGCAAACCAGTCAGTCTGGTGCACACTCAAGGGGAAGGGAATTAATCTCCTCCGTTTGAGGGGAGGCGTAGCCACGAATCGGACATACCTGTTGTAGTTATTCTTCTTTCTCATTACCATCTCGGTACTCCCTCAAGGGATCTCACGCTCGAGACTGGGAGGTGTTGTCCCAGATAGTCCTAAGAAGTGACCACTAGGAACCGACCTTGGACTGGGGCCATCAGGCCCCCGAGGCCCTTTCTGGGCCTTACTGCTAACTTGCCAGGCGACCTTGAGCAAATCACTTCAACTCTCTGCCTCCAACGTTTTTTTTTTTCTTTTTAAAATCATTTTATTGGGGGCTTGTACAACTCATCACAATCCATACATCCACCCATTGTGTCAAGCACATTTGTACATTTGTTGCCCTCATCATTCTCAAAACATTTGCTTTCTACTTGAGCCCTTGGTATCAGCTCCTCATTTTCCCTTCCCTATCCCCACCTCCCTTGATAATTTATAAATTATTATTATTTAGTCATGTCTTACACTGTCCAACGTCTCCCTTCACCCACTTTTCTGTTGTCCGTCCCCCAGGGAGGGCGTTATATGTAGATCCTTGTGATCGGTTCCCCCTTTCTCCCCCACCTTCCCCTTCCCCTCCTGGTATCACTGCTCTCATGATTGGCCCTGGTTTCCCTGACTCCAACTTTTCATCTGTGACGCCTGTGATGTGTGCCTAACACTGGTCTGTTTCCCTATCTGTAATCAGAGAGGTTGACCCAGAACTGTGCATTTTAAGCTGCTGCAGGCTTAAAGCCTCGGACGTGGCTGCGGAGACAGGAGACCCAGCAGACCCATCCTGACCTCTCCAGGCTCAGGTCTCCCGCAGGGAAGGCCTCGCGGAGCCACTCTCATTTCTCCCACTTTCTGGGTCTTCTTATGGGCAGGTGAAGCCCTTCAACCTGGGAAGTGAAATCTCTGTCTCTCACGCACAGACACCAGGCACATAGCACAGACACGGGTGCCCGCCAAGGGCTCCTGCGGAGGCTCTGGGGACTCGTTACTGGCCCCTATGGAGCCTTGGTGATGTGGTGGGTGGCTTGGTGGGTGGGTGGAACCTCCTGGCTGGCGATGCCCTGCCTATCGTAACCAGCACAGGGGACCCTACACTCCCGGTGGCCCCTGCTCTTTTCCAGAATGGAGTTGTTTCCCTCATTGACTGCACTTTGCTGGAGGAGCCGGAGAGCGCCGAGGAGGAAGGTGAGGCTGGAAGTGACCTGGGGGTGTTGGGGCTGAGGGTGAGGCAGGGAGAACTCCCGGGCCTTGGTCAACATCTGGGTTCCTTCCAAGTTGCTGAAGTCCCTGTGCCAGTTAGGGGGACCCAGTACCCCAGAGAGCCCCCCTCGTTCCTACACTCCAGGACTCTGCGGTCATGTGGTAGACACCTAGGATACACCCAGTGCCCTCTTGGTCCCCAAGAGAAACTGTGGATGTGCTCAGGACACGTGGCCCCTGACAGAGGACACGCAGGGCTGGCATCCTGCAGGGGGTGCGGTTGGGACGGTCATGAGGGGAGGGAGGCAAGACCAGGGAGGAGGGAGCCCGGGGGCGTGGCCTCAGCACACCCAAGGGTCTTGGGACACGAGGTGAGAGAAGGCTGAGTGTGGCTCTTGGAAAGCCTCAGGGTGCGACGTCTCTCCCCAGACCACAGAGCTGGGGCTCGAGACCACTACTATCTTTTGATCGGGCCCTCTGTCTTTCTCATTCACTGCCCCTGTTCAGAGCATGTCCCTGGCCTGGCCTGTGTCGGGTCAGGCCAACACTCATGTCTGAGCTGTTCCCAGGACTGGGTGCATCTCCCCAGCACCCCATCTCAGTGTGGCAGGACATAGGGTTTGTGGCGCATGGGGCTGGTTCACTCACACATCCAATGACCTTCTTCCCACCACAAACACCTACCGCAGTCACCAGTCGGGTGAGGCTGCAGCTCCCTCCACTGAGGGTCACGCCGGGACCCCCCACGCACAGTACTTCCCCCTGGAGCCCGGGGTGCTCTTGGCCAGAGTGGCCCCTGGGAAAGCTTAGAGTCCCGTGGGAAAGCTCTTTTGTCTCCTGAGTCCTGAGGTAGGGGTGTGGGCCTGGGCCTGTGAGGGAGGCCCGTGCCGGGGAGCTTGTGGGAGCCGCCCTGACTGAAGCACCACCGACGCCGGCAGACACCTCACTTCTCCAGCAGAAGGCGCTCCTCTGTGGCCAGCAAAGCCCCTAAAGGGAAGACGGGGTCTCAGACACCAAGCCCCCTCCTGACTGCACTGGGCTTCTGAAGCCCAGAGAGGGGAGGGCACTGCCTCAAGGCCTTGCAGCCAGCAGCAGACCAGAGGGAACCAGAGCAGCAGGCAGCAAGGGAGGGAGGGATGGCCTGCATTCCACCCTAGCCCTAGGGCTGGGGGTCTCCAGCTGGGCCCCTGGCAGACCCTCCCCACCCTCCATCATGTTATGTACGTCCCCAGGCAGGGCAGGGGCATTGAAAGGAATCCCCAAGCTTGGGTTTGAGTCTTTCCAAATAGACGGTATCCGAGAGTTCAAGAACTTTCCCCGCGAACAGCAGGCGTAAACATACCTACAATTGCCCTGCTCTTTGGGAAGCTCCAACGTGAGGGAAAGTGTCCAGACAGTCAGGGTTTAAGACCTCAGCATTCTTACCCTGGCCTCAGGAACAAGAGAGGTGGAGTGCTAGTCCTCGCCTGAGGTTGTCATGTGTGTGTGTGTGTGTGTGTGTGTGTGTGTGTGTGTGTGTGTGTGTGTGTGTGTGTGTGTGTGTGTGTGTGTGTGTGTGTGTGTGTGTGTGTGTGGGGGGGGTGTCTCAGAATCTCAGCTCCCCACAGTGAGAGCAGAAGGCTAACTCAGTGACCCCTGTGTGGTCGAAGCTCCTCTGTTTGCCTGTCTTTGAAATGGGCATTCTTCCCTCTAGAAGAAAACAACAGCTGTCCTGAGAAAGGCAAGTGGCCTGGCCTCTCTCTCCATGCAGGGAGGCAGGGCATCCTTAAAACAGTCCCCAATTCAAAAAAGCCCCTCCCCACACATCTTGCTAATTGCGTCTTTTGCCACCGGAAGCCAAGGGCTCGGGCCAAGATGTAGAGCACTTGGACTTCAAGATCGGGGTGGAGCCAAAGGACGCCCCGCCCTTCACGGTCATCCTCGTGGCCTCGTCCAGACAGGAGAAGGCGGCGTGGACCAGTGACATCAGCCAGGTGAGCAGCGCCACCATTCTGGGAGGAGCCAGCGGTTCCTTCCAGCCAGACCGGCCCTGCTCAGCTGCCCGGCCCTTTGCAGAGTCCCCGAGGGGGCCATCTTCACAGTGTGATCTGGGGACCCGGGAAGGGGATTTTTTTTAAAATTCAGATTCTTGGGCTTCCCAGGCCCCACCTCGCCCCCAACCTCCCATAAAACCCAAACCCCAACCCGAAGTGTAAATCTTTACAGGGGCCGACAGCCTCCCCTTTCTCCTGCAGAGCATCTGGGGGCGTTGAACTGCTAACCTTGCGTTAACAGCTCAGTGCTCATCCCGCAGCACCACTAGGGCCCCCAGACTCCCTGGTCCAAACCTCCGGTTTGAAGCCCGATAATACATGTGTTCACCTACTGTCGGCCATCAGTTGTGCACAGGAGGCTTGAGAGCCTCTAGCCAGGATGGCCAAGGTTGTCCAGGGAGAGGACGCCATGGCCGCCACGCTCTCCAGTGAGGCCGGGCGAGTTCCTGAGGCCGAGCCCAGCCCACTGCACAGAAGGAAGATGGAGCCCCTGCCTTTGCCCGCTGTAAAAGGTGTCCTGATGGCATCGTGGGTTAAGTGTGGAGCTGCTTAGCAACCAGCCTCTCAGAAGGAGGAAGAAACTGTCTACTCCCACAAAGACGTGCAGTGTTGGAAATACTACGCCCGGTGGCTCTGTGTAGAAATCCACTCAATGGCAGGGCAGGGGAGTGCCGTGAACAGAGAGATGAGAGGGGAGGGGTTAGGATTGCAGTCCTTACTGGGAGCCTTCGCAGGACGTGCAGCCCTCTCCAGGTCAGTGGGCACAGCCAGAGGCCCCGGAGACCTGCAGTTCAAGGATGGGCAGAGAGGTGATTCCAGCAAGAGGCTGTGGGCAGTACCGGGGCTTGGATGCCAGGTCAAGACTTTCTTGGCATGGGCCTCTATGAATCCCCCAGAAGAGGGACAGTGGCCTATTTCCCCAAGCCCTCTGCTGCTGCTGCTGCCATGAAGCTCTGGCCACCTTCTGCCCTAGCTCCCTCATCCCAGAACTGCGATAGGGCCAGCACTAGAGCCTGAGTGTAGAGGGTTCTAGAGCTGGGCCTGGGAGATGCAGACAGAGACCCATTGTTCTGCAGGGTGCTTTCAGGAACCTGCTTTGAGGGACTGGCTTTGAGCAGGAAGTGGGGCCTAAGGACCCCACCACCCCTGGCTTCACCTCTCAGCTGCCACTTGCCACTGACTTTGGCTCCACACACACCCTTAACATCAAAAGTTCCCTCCGTGTGTCCCACGGAGAATGCCCACCCCTCCATTCCCACCCATAGGAGCCTGCTCATGGCACCATGTGCAGGCACAGGGCAGGGGGTGACAAGAGAATGAAACCATGTACACACACACACAGAGCCAGACATGGGTTTTAATGTATCTGGCATCGGACGGGGCATCAGCAGTGGGCAGAGCACAGAGAGTGGCAGGGCAGCAGGTGCCTGCAGGAGTGGCCGAGGGGGTATCCCGCTGGGCTGCCCCCTAGAAGAGAGGTGCGACCCCACCCTCACACTGGACCTCCAAGGCCAGCAACAGGGTGGCCCATGGTGGACACAGCCATGTCCCAAATACCCCCAGGAGGCAGGAGGCAGGCAGCATTTATACCCAATTTGCAGGTGGGGAAACGAAGGCTCGGGTTCAAGAAGGTCAAGTAGGACCCCCAGCCCCCACTGCCACCACCCAGCCAGAACTTGACTTCCTGCCCAAGCCCTGGCTGACCCCGCACCACACACTTGACTGGGCTTGAGGGTGTGCGTCATTGGGCTGGGGTTCCCTGGGCAGGCCTCCTGCAACAGAGAGCCGAGCCCTGACGCCGATGGCTCTGTCTGTTTGCAGTGTGTAGACAACATCCGGTGTAACGGGCTTATGATGAACGCCTTTGAGGAGAACTCCAAGGTCACCGTGCCGCAGATGATCAAGTGAGTCCCCGGGCAGGCCGCACACCGACAGGCAGTGCGGAGTTGGAGACAGCAGGCTCAGAGCGAGGCTGCTTCCTCTCTGGGGGCTTGTTCGTTTGCTTCGAGTTGCTACTGCTTGGGTGCACGGTGACTCTGGCTGACTTTTCCTTTTGTTTGTGTGAACACCTGCATCGGCTGCTGAAAACATACAGTCTTTTGGTTTTGTTTTAATAACCGTTTTCCTTTGGGGGACTATAAAATGAGTACAAAGAGCACTCCAAACTCACAGAATAGGTCAAAAATGCAGCCTCTAGGGTCACTGCACTTGTTTGGGAGATGCAAGCCAACCCAAAGGTGAAGGAAGAGGCACCCTGCTGAGCACAGCCCACCCACCACCACCCCTTGCTGTGACCACTATAAGCCAGCCTCTTGCCCTTCTCCCCCCACAGGCATGAATATCCTCTAGGAACCTGCCCCCCTCACCCTCTCACCTCCTCCTGCCCCGACCCTGGACACCCACTGGCCCAGTCTCCATCACAGCCAGATGCCTGCCTGTCCCCCAGCCTCTCTGCTGCTTCAAATGCAGGTTCCAGGGAGCCGCAGACCCAGCAGCACTCTCTAGCATCAGAGCATCTGCATCACCCCAAAAAGAGGCCCCGCATCTGTGAGCAGTCAGTCACTACCCCCACACCCATCTTCTGACACCACCCATCTACATTCCGTCTCATAGGCTCCCCCGCTCTGGGCATTGCAATAGGCCGTACACATCAATGACATCAGACTCTGTGTGTCCGTTGAGACTGGCCTCTGGCACCCTGTTTCCCAGATTCACCGGGTCACAGTATGTGCCAGGACACCATGCCTTTTTCATCACCAAGTAATATTCCACCATCCAGACCATGATATGTCCATTCATCCGATGGCGGATGCTTTCTGCTTGGGGCTGTTGGGAATAGTGCTGCTCTTTGCATTCGTGTGAACAGATGTCCCTGGTGTCTTGTGAGCTCTGCAGTACCTTTCAAAAGAAGCCCCGTGGAGTCTTTTATCCAAGAGCTCTCTTGGCACAGTGGTTAAGCACTGGGTTGCTGACCGAAAGGCTTGTGGTTTGAACCTACCAGCCTCTTGCCAGGAGGACAGATCAGCAAGCTGCTCCTGTAAGGAGCTCAGCCTGGCAGTTCTACTGTCTGAGAATCACTATGAGTTAGAATCCACTTGCTGGCACACAACCGTCTCCCCAGTATTTCTAGGGGTTTGTAGTGTTACGGTTTTCAGGACAGTGCTGGGAAGGAGTCGCAGCCCTTTAACCAAGGCCCTCCTAAGATTTCCTGGCTCCCTTAGGAAGATCACTAGGCCTTCAGCAAACCCTCTTGGCTGTTGGCCATCGGGGAGTCTGTGGGGCCTCAGACAACATTAGACCCCGCCCCCCTTGCTTCCTCCCCAGGTCAGACGCCTCCCTATACTGCGATGATGTTGACATTCGCTTCAGCAAAACCATGAACTCCTGCAAAGTGCTGCAGATCCGCTACGCCAGCGTGGAGCGGCTGCTGGAGAGGCTGACAGACCTGCGCTTCCTGAGCATCGACTTCCTCAACACCTTCCTGCACTCCTACCGCGTCTTCACCACGGCCGTGGTGGTCCTGGACAAACTCATCACCATCTACAAGAAGCCCATCAGTGCCATCCCTGCCAGGTGGGCCGGCCTTCCCCCACTGGAGCTCCCAGGTGGCCTGCTCTTCCCATAGCCACAGAGCTGACAAGCCCGGGAGGAAAGAGCATCAGGGGGTGGTCTGGGGAAGGGGGCCCTGGAGAAGAAGGTCTGGGGACGGGGGCCCTGGAGAAGAAGCTGGGCATACTCTGGGGTGATGTGGACCCCCACACATACTAAGGAACCAAGCCAGCCCTCTGCAGAGAGGCCAAAGCAGGCAGATATGCCCGATGTTCACTAGTTCACTTGCTAGTTCTCTCTCTCTCCATTTCCCACCGCTGCTGCCCCACCTTGCCCCTGGGCTTGGGGGAGCACACCTTGTTCTGTCTTTTCCCTGGGCCCCCTCATTGAAGCCCAGGAGCTCACCTCTCTGCAGAGCACTCTGCTTCCCCACTGTCTCAGGCTGTTATAACACAAATACTACAAGAGCGTGGTTTTAAAGAACAGGCATTTCTTTTCTAAGTCTAGCTCCCTTGTGGGAGAAGACCCCAGTCTCCCAATGCTACCCTGTTCCTTGGAGTGTCTTCCCAGAGCATCCTCCCCAGCCCAGTCTGGGCTCCCTTGTGTCTCTGTTGCCCCTTATGCCTCAGAAGTAATTAGGTGTAGGACCCACCCTGCACTAGTGTGGCTTCACTCATACAATAAAGACTATCTTACTTCCAAACAGGATGGCAGCCTCAGGATTCTAACACATATTTAGGGAGCAGGAGGGACACCACTGGATCCTTAACACCACCTTTCCTATTCAAGAAAGTGAGAGCCTTACCCTTGCTTTGCTTAAATTAGACACCACCACCCCTGCCAAGAAAGGTGGTAGCCCTTGAAAGTCATACAACAAAGGGAGGCTTGCCCTCCTGGCCTCATTCCCTATCCCACCATCACTGCTCACCCCAGCCCTGCCATAGAGCCAGCTGGGACTCTAAAGGGCAGAGAGATGTGGCCCAGGGTCCCGGGCAAGTTTATGGCAGAGAGGGGCCTTGAACCCAGGGCCTGATGTCACTGAGCACACACTGGAGCCCCTCATCCTCCGTGCTCCCCTGCTCCACCCAGCATTCAGCTGTCCACCCCCAGCCCTGGCCCACCCCAGCCCCAGTGGGGTCACTATGAACCAACTGTCCCTATGATGTAAGACCCCTAGGGGGTGGTGCAGCGCTGGTCAGGGCGAAGCCTAGATAAGGCTGAGACGCCGAAGGCCCCAGCCTCAGATCTTCCCACTGCAACTACTGGGCACCCCGAATCTTGACTCCACGAAGAACTCTCTCCCCCCTCACCCATCTTGCCCTCTGAGGCCCTGGGGGGTAGGGTATGTCAAATCAAGCTCCTGCCTGCAGCGGGCTTGCGGTGCACCACGAGGTGCCTTGCCTGCTCATGTAACAGAGGGAGACAGGAGGCCGCCCAGCTGTGAGCCAGTCCTCAGGTGAACCACGGCTGCAGCCTTTGCCTGTACCTGCCAGGACACCCCGACTCTCACGCCACTGTCCTTGAGCCTCTGTGAGTCCTGCCGCCCGGGGGTGCCAGAGCAGAACAGGGTCCCCACGGGTTTCTCAGGGGCTGCTTGTGGCTGAAGTAGACCTTGCTTCCCAAGCACCTCTGCGTGGACTCAAAGCCGTGAGTGTTAACCATTTGCCCCACCACAGTCTGCATCCCGACCCTCAGAGCCCCAGAGCCTCCCTCTGAATGCTCCTTCCGGGCAGGCTGGGGCCACCATCTCAGCCCTAGGGCTGTCTGTCCTGTCTGAGAACGGGACAAAACACTCCTTGTCGTCGAGTTGACTCCAGGTCCTAGCAGCCGACCCTGTAGGCAGAGTGGAACAACCGACAGGGTCTCCAAGCCTCTCATCTTTGGGGGCACAGCCTGCTCCTTCCTTCTCCTGCCGAGGGCTGCCGGGCTTGAAGGCAGCCGCTGAGTGCTTAACCGCTGCACCCTTCAGGCAGCGGAGTAAATGCCTCCCAATTGGACCATCGGGCAGCCCTGGTCGTGTAGTGGTCACGCGTTGGGCTGCTAATCGCGAGGTCTGAAGTCCTAAACTGCCAGCCTCTCCAAAGGAGAAAGACAGCTTTCTACAAATAGTGACTGTCTTGGAAACTCGCAGGGGCCGCTCTCCCCTGTCCTGTAGGCTCGCTCAGCTCGATGACAGTAGGTTTGCTTTCCTGGGGCCGTGGTGAGGATTCAAAGCAGGAAGGCCTGTCCCAGGAGAACACAGCATCAGCTGTTGCCTTAGTGACTGAGCACGTGTGCACTGCCGTCTCCAGCCTGGCCCGAGGCTGAGGCCCTGGTGTGAGGAGGGGAGCAGGAGCATGCCAGGATTGGTGGAAGACCCCATTCTCAGCCCACCTGCCCCACTGCACACCTCAGTGGAGCGGACACTGGGTTGAGAGTGGACATATGGGCACACACGAGTTACCTCCCATCTCGGAGCCTCAGTTTCCTCATCTGTAAACCACCCCTGGGGATCTCTGTGAGGATGAGGTCAGGCCCCAGTGTGAAATGATGGCAAGCCATGGTAGATGGTGGCCTGATGCTACTGCGACTGGCTGGGAGGCAGAGGAGGGGGCACCAGATATGGACTGCCACGAGAGTCCATCCCCCCTCACCCCCCCACACACACACATACACCAAGAGCAGGTGTGTTCCTGGACATTTAATCCATGAGCCCTCTGGCCTGCTCAGAGGGTCAACACAGACGCCTGGGGTGGTGACCATGAGGCTACCCCGGGTGCTGTCCGAGCCCCTCCAGAGGTGGGTCACCCCACCCTGGGTGTTAGCAGGTCCTCGCTGACCACTCACGTCATCCCCTGCCCTCCAGGTCTCTAGAACTCTTGTTTGCCAGTGGCCAGAACAACAAGCTACTATACGGTGAGCCCCCCAAGTCCCCACGGGCCACCCGCAAGTTCTCCTCACCGCCACCCCTGTCCATCACCAAGACGTCATCCCCGAGCCGCCGGCGGAAGCTCTCCCTGAACATCCCCATCATCACCGGCGGCAAGGCCCTGGACCTGGCCGCGCTCAGCTGCAACTCCAATGGCTACACCGGCATGTACTCGGCCATGTCGCCCTTCAGCAAGGCCACCCTGGACACCAGCAAGCTCTACGTGTCCAGCAGCTTCACCAACAAGATTCCGGACGAGGGCGATACGCCCACCGAGAAGGCCGAGGACCCCTCCACTCTCAGCAAGCAGAGTGAGTGTCTGTGTGGCTGCCGGGCCTCCGGACTCCTTGCAGCACCCATGGGGCAAGGGGCGAGGGCTCTGGGCTCCCAGTCAGACCACAGAGGCAGTGCAGAGGGGGGCCAGGGCGACCTCTGGGATCCTAGGCTATGGGGGTTGGCAGGCAGGGCCTTGGCACCCTTCGATGAGGGTCAGCTCAGGCTGCCCTGATGGCAGCCCCATCCTGCATCCCTGTATCCCACACCATGGAGCGGACCTCTCCTGGGCACCGGGTCAGGTCCCCAGAAAACAGGTAGTCAGACCTCATTCCTGCCCTGCGGGAGTCACAGCCAGACCAGACCGCCTCGCTCCAGGCTGTGCTTGGAGGACACAGGTGAGTGGGGGTACCCCCAGGAGAGTCAGAGGAACTTCTCGGAGGGGCAGAAGAACATTCTAGACAAAGGGAACAGGTGGTACAGGAGTGAGGAGCAAGGAGAAGTGCCGGCTGTCGGGGGCCAGCAGAGGCTCAGCAGACTGGGGGCACCCCAGGCTGGCAGTAGCAGAGATGGCGATGGAGCACAGCCTCTCCTGCCCCTTCCTGAAGGGTCTTGTTTGGGAGGTGTGTCTGCTTCTGTATAGATCAAGATGCCTGTCTCGGTTAGCACACCCACACCCACCACAAGCACACACACACACACACACACACACACACACACGCACACGCACACGCTGGCCAGAAGGCCCCGGCTTTGAGGAGGAGACCTTTGAAAAAGCCTTTGAAGCTGGTCGGACTCCTCCGCAGTGGGGAGAGGAGAGGAGGCAGAGGGTAGTCGCAGCAGAGGGTACAGGGGGTGGGCAGAGCCCCCAGGAGGCTCCATCACTAAGTGACATTTACTGGGGCTCATACAGCACCAGATGACACACACAGCTAAGCCGGTAACCAAGGGAACAGCCTGCCTGAGAGTCCCAAATGCCACACTGCAGATGCTGAATGTGGGATCCTGTTGTGGGGTGGGGGCGGAGGGGGGAGGGCGGGGCAGAACCCATGTGATATAAACCTAGGGTGACCCCATTCTGGCCTGGCCTTCACAGAGGCCTGTCAGAGAGAGAGAGAGAGAGGAGGTGGGGGGAGGGGGGAGAGAGAGAGAGGGAGACCACAGGAACTTTCTTTTTTAAGAGAAGACCTGTGACTTTTTGGACTCTCTAAAAAGTCAAGGGTAATGTCCCTTATTTGATAGTCATCCCTCCAAAACTGAGTCCCAGAGAGACTAAGAGTTTGAGACCAGGATCTTGGCTGGACTTTGAATGTAATCCATCAGCTCTGTCTCCAGGGTGTAGACCAGGAGTTGCCCAGGATTGGTGGTGGTGGTGGTGGTGGTGGTGGTGGTGGTGGTGGTGGTTGGTAGTGGCTGCCGTGGAGACGGCTGCAGCTCCATGCAACCTTAGGTGCCACAGCCCAGTATGGTCTCCACGGCTGTGGGTGTAGTTGAGTCCGCTATTGGTTGATTGTGTTGATCCATTTCACTGACTCAAACCATACTCACTGCCAGCACATTGATTCCAACTCACAGCGACCCTATAGGACAGAGTATACGTCCCCTGGCTTTCTGAGACTGTAACTCGTTACTGGAGTGGCAAGCCTCGTCTTTCTCCCCCAGGGTTGCTGGTGGTTTCGAACTGCTGAACCTTGCCGTCAGCAGCCCACCAGGTCACCAAGCCTCCTTTCCATTTCACCGACTCAAAACCCAAACCCACTGCTATTGAATTGATTCTGACCCATAGCAACCCTGTAGGACACAATTACCCCTGTGGGTTTCCCAGCCTAGAGCTGTTTGTGGGACTAAAAGCCCCACCCACTCGCCTTTCCCCTGTGGAGCAGCTGGTTTCGAGACCTGACGTTGCGGTTAGCAGCCCAGTGCGTAACCACTCTGCCCCGGGGCTCTTTCCCATCTTCCTGAAGGGTCTTTAGTCATTTCCCAAACGAGGGTCGCCCTGAGAATGACCATGGACACAGGGCAGTCGGGGGAAAGCAGAGCAGTCCTGGGCGAACTAACGGTGATGTTTCACCAAAAGGAGGGGAAGGGGGCTCTGCTACTCACGGTGTGGTCTGTGGACCTGCTGCTTGGGCGTCAGCTAGAAGCTTGTCAGAAATGCAGACCCCCAGGTCCCACCCCAGCCCTCTGAATGGCAGTCTGCCTCCTAACCAACGCCCCAGGTGTGTGCATGGAGGCTTGAGGAATGCTGACAGCGCAAAGAAGGCACCCTGGCGGCTCTGTGGTTAAGGACTCTGCCGCTGACCCAACGGTCACTGGTTCGAACCCACCAGCCGCTCTGTGGGCGAGCCGCATTCCTGTCTGCTTCCTTTAAAAGATCAGGGGGAGGCAGTTCTACTCTGTTCTGCGGGGGGGCGGGGTCTCTCCGTGTCAGAGCCAATGGAAGGGCCACAGGTTGTGTGGGGCTGGCTTTGTTTGGGGGAGAGAAAAGCCTCTCTCGGTGACTTTATTAGCCTGGGAGAAGTTGTGGCAAAGAAAGCTATACGTTCTGCAGGCAAATCCCAAACTTGTTCTGGTTTGTGTTGGTGACTGACACATCAGTGAGTAGTGGAGGAAGGTGAAATCCTACCCACCCACCCCCACCCCCCAGGCTCAGAAGTCTCCATGAGGGAAGAGTCGGACGCTGACCCAAACCAGAGTGACGATGGGGGTGCTGAGGCCTCACCAACAAGATCTCCACCGACCCCCAAATCCATCAAGAGCAAAAACTCTTCAGGTACAGCTCACGCCCGGCTTCTCGGGGGTCGGGAGGCAACGACAGGCTCATCCCTCAGACTTCATGAGGGACTCCTAACGACAAGAATTCTGAAACTCCAGAGCCTAGGAGGGGGACTGGGTGCCCCAAAGTTGGCTAGGCAAACCCTACTTTTCAATTTACCCTAGTCGGCCCCCATCTTCAGACAAGGAGAGCCCCTGAGTAACAAATCCATTGACACACCTGTGTGTATAAGAAAGAGATTTATATACAAGAGCGATTGAACATTGAGAAAACATCCCAGCCCAGTCCATTTCAGGTTCATAAGTCTGGTATTAGCCCCTATGTCTAATACCAATCTATAAAGTCCTCTTCAGACTCACGCAACACATGCACTGAAGCCAAATGCAGGACGAGCACAGCCCAGTGGGTAGAAAGTCTTTGGGTCCAGGGGCGTTGTAAGCATGTCAGCGCTGGCAGGGGTCTCTCTGTGGCTTCTCAGGCTTCCGAGGTCTGGTTACATCCATGTGACTTGTCTTCTGCAGTGTTTCCCAGGGAGTGGCAGAGAGAGGAAGTATCTTCCGCCTCCAAGGAGGAGGTACCAGATTTCCCAGAATTCTCTGAAGGCCATGGCCACCCAGAAGTCTCATTGACTGTCTCAGATTGACAGCCTAGACTCCACCCCCACACTCTTAATCCTTAAATTGGCACCAGATTAGGTGACTGCCACAGCTCCCCAGTATCTTATTCACAGAACATCCAGATTCCTAATCTCTGGTTTCACCTCTAACTCATGCCGGGTCCCTTACAACCTTATGGAGTGGCCACCTGGTCCCATTTTCAAATAAGGACAAAGACTAGACGAGTTGCTGTAACCGCGACGCCCAACCAGTGCCTCACACCAAGATCCTGAAAGGGCCTGAGGAGCCTCTGGGTGTCCAGTTCCCATAGGCACCTCACCACACACGAGCTGGGAGCCACCCAAGGTGGAGAGCATCCTCGCGGGGCCTCGCCTCTGGGGCAGCTCCCCGGCCCTCCTCCTGAGCCTGAGCCCCAACTCCCTGTACAGAAACCCGGCAGGTAACCAGGTCACCTAGCTTCAGACAAACTGTAACCACAGAGAAGACGATCCCATGGAGATCCAAATTTCAGAAATAACGTTTAGGTTTTACAAGCAGATCATTAAAAAATAATAATCAACAGCAAACGTGGGTTTCTTTTAAAAAGAAATTAGTAGAAAAGCAAAGAACAAGCCGTTTATTCTTCAAGGTGTAGGGGCGCCTACTTTGTCCTGAGCACGATTGCTTCCGGAGACAGGTGAGCTGGAGCTAGCAGGACCATCAGCAAGGGTGCTGTACCAACAGCAGCCGTACTCCTGGGTGTTCTGTTGACTGTTCACCGGAGGCAGAGGCCTGCCGTCTCTGTCGTCTAGGTGTTGATAGCCCCCCTGTCCAGAGGCGATCACTGAGGCTCAGAGAGGTTAAGTAGTGACCCACGGACACACAGACAGCTAGTGAGAGGGCGGGGATTAGGATTTTCCCCGAATGCCACTGCCCTCTTCCTCCATACCATGCCGGGTCCCAGGAAGGCTGAGGCCGGGCTCCATCCACTCCACAGAGTTCCCGCTCTTTGCCTATAACAATGGAGTGGTCATGACTTCCTGCCGGGAGCTGGACAGTACCCGCAGCGCCCTTTCGGCCACTTCCGCCTTTGCCATAGCAACCGCAGGAGCCAATGAGGGCACCCCAAACAAGGAGACGTACCGAAGGATGTCCTTAGCAAGCGCAGGTTCGTATGGTTGGTGGGGGAGGGGGGGGTGGCGGCCTTACGGGGGTCCTCCCCCAGGCAGCTGCACTCAGTGCTGGGGATGGTCCCCCCTGGGAGGCACAGCCCTCAGGAATTTGCACCCCTGCACAAATGCAACACGCCTGCTTATGAAACTAATGTTCTCACACCCGGAGGTCACCTGTCGAGGAGGCAGGGCTGCAAGGTTTGGCTCTTCCACAGCCCTTACCTTGCCACCGGGCATAACCTGCCTGCCCCACACCCTTGCTCAGGGCCCCCACCCTCAGCATTAGCTCCAGCCACTGGCCCCCTCACTCCACCCAAGCCCACCCTGAGCTTACTGCCCTGCCCCATCCTTGGCCACTGCTGAGGCCTGGTGCTGCCTTCCTGCGCATGACCCCCCTTTCTACTTAGTAAACTTCTACACAAGCTTCCCTGCCCATTGCCCTAGGGACCCTCTGTCCCCCCATCACCCAGGAAGGATGCGAAGCTAAGTGTCTAGGAACTAACTGTGTTCACCTAGAAGCCTGGCTGCTCAGCACCCGCCCCCACCCCCCACCCCCGGGTGTTGTGAGATATTCGATGCCCCTGCCCACCACGCTCCCCATAAGGAGCAACCCCCACCCTGGGGTCCAGATGCAGACATGAACCAGGCTCTGTTTCTCATCAGCGTGCCCCCTCTCCCCTCTGCCACGCGCGCTGCCAGGCTTCCCCCCAGACCAGAGGAACGGAGACAAGGAGTTTGTGATCCGCAGAGCGGCCACCAACCGCGTTCTGAATGTGCTCCGCCACTGGGTTTCCAAGCACTCACAGGTAGGTGGGACCCTGCCACCCCAGATGGGAACGCTGAGGACCTGAAACCAGGTGCCCTCTGAGAGCAGAATGATTCAGGGGATCATCCCAGGGTGGCAGGAGGGAGGAAGCATGAGGGTGCTACCCTGATATCTTCAGGGGGCGGAGGACCTGAGCAGGTCTCCTGGGAAGGACTAGGGAGCTGTCTCCCTACCTCTGTCTACAGCAGGGTCCAGGGTCCCAGTGTGCCTCCCAGGGTCCTGCCCGAGGGCTGCACCTGCCTTGGCCTGGTCCTTGTTCCTGTCCTCGTGTTTGTTACCCAAGCGCTCCTTATGTCCCGCCATACACCCAGCAGAAGGAAAAGCGGGGCAGGCCCACTGCATGGGCAGAGATAGAAACCGTGGTCCCCTCCCCTGGCCTGGGCAGGCGGCTTGCGTAGCCCAAGCCATCCAGCATATCTTCCTGCAGGACTTCGAGACCAACGACGAGCTCAAATGCAAGGTCATCAGCTTTCTGGAGGAGGTCATGCACGACCCCGAACTCCTGACCCAGGAGCGGAAGGCGGCAGCCAACATCACCAGGTAGGCCAGGCCTCTAGCCCAGCCCCTGGGCCAGGACAGTGCTGGGGTGGCCATGCAGAGCCCGATCCTCAAGGGCTCCCTGCCCAGATCTAGCAGGGCCAGACACATACACAGCATCCCACTGGGTGAGGCCAGGTCTGAGAAGGCAGGAGGCCCGGGATGAGGTAGCCCTGGGAGGGGGCCTCACCCCCTCACCCTGCCCAGAGGGTCAGTGAGCTGAATGCTGAGGGTAGCCCATCAAGAAGCCAACAGAGAAGAAAAGGGCAAAGGGCCTCCCAGGAGCTTCACAGTGTGGGGGTGACGTTCAAAGCACTCCTCTGGCTGGGGCAGGGGGCTGCTGGAGAGGTGAGGTCCAAGGGCAGGCTCATCAGTCTCCTTGTCCCCAGGACTCTGACGCAGGAGGACCCGGGCGACAACCAGATCACCCTGGAGGAGGTCACACAGATGGTAAGTCTGGCCCGCCCTCTCAGACAAAGCACACCTGCCCTCCTGGATGGATCCCCACCCCCTCCCCGGTCTGCTGGGGTGCCCTGACCCAGGAGGCAATGCTAAGGGGAGAAGAGCCCCCCTGCCCTGAAGCTGCTTCTATGGGAACTTCAGTGTGGCCAGTGCTTCTAACTTGCAGAGTGACCTCCCAAGGAGCTTCCCCTTGGCGCCCCTCCCCTCAGTCAGTGGCACGTGCCATACCTGCCACGGAGCTCGGGTGTCTTGCTCAGTGGCTCCTGGCTGGTCCTTGACCCTCCAGAGCACAGTACCTCTGTTCCTTCCGTACCTGCCTGTCCCTGACGGGTCCCAGAGTCCACAGAGGACCTGTGGCACTAGAGCTGTGCCAGGGGCCCTGGTGGCCTCCCCAGAGAGCAGCCAGGTCTCAGGAGGTAGCGTAAGGGCTGGGTCCCTGACTCGACTCCCAGGTAGCCCTCCTTCCTAGACCACGTGAGAAAGGGGCAGAAGCACCAGCTCCGCCTTCCCCAAGGTGCAGGCTTTGCAAAGAGGTGCCCCGCCCTCCTCACCCTAACCTCTCCATATTCTCCTTGACCTCTCTCTGCCCCCAGCCTCTCCTCAGACCAGGCCAGGACTTGCCAGCTCTGTGAGCGCAGCACCAAGTCACCAGCTCGGGACACAGGAAAGAATAGGGCTGAGCTACCTGGTGGCCATGGTGCTCAGCCAAGCAGAGGGCCAGAGGAGCTGGGGAGGGAGGCCCTCCATGATTGTGAGGATGGAGCAGGAGCAGGCAGTGTTGGTGCCATTGTACGCAAGAGCTCGATGCGTGGAAACCAACCTGATAGCCCCAACAGCCCACCTGCCCGCCTGCCTTCACCTGCTTCAGAGGCCGGGGGCTCCCGCGTGTGGGCATGCACACAGGTGCCCCATCCCCGGGATCCAGATGGCTCTGCTGCTCCCACCCCTGTGTCCCCTTGGCCCCTCAGAACTGTGTTAGTCTGAGTACACTTGAAAAACAAATCCATGGACACACATATGTGTATAAGAAAGAAATTTATATGCAAGAGGAATTGAACATTGAGAAAACAACCCAGCCCAGTCCAGATCAAGTCCATAAGTCTGATATTAGCCCATATGTCCAATACAATCTATAAAGTCCTCTTCAGACTCACACAACACATGCAATGACACCGAATGTAGAAGATCACAGGCCAGTGGGTAGAAAGTCTTTGGAAATATCTCAGCGCTGGCAGGGGTCTCTGCATCAGGGTGGGCCCATGTGTCTTGTCAGCTGCCATGTCTCCCAGGGTGTGAGCAGAGAGTCTCCCACCTCCAAGGAGGAAATACCAGATTTCCCAGAATTCTCAGGAGAAGGCCATGCCCACACAGAGGCCTCATTGGCTGTGATCCAATTGACAGACCAGACTCCACCCCTTTACTCATAATCCTCTCAAATTGAAAATTATATAACTACCACAGAACTCATCATTCCTTGAAGCAAGTGTCCCCTACACCCAAACCCCTGATTTGGGTCATTCCTGATAGGCGTTGCACCCCACGCACGCTTCCCGCTGCACCTGGCCTCTCTGTACCCGCTGTTCCCTGTAGGGACGTTTCGGTGACACACATGGAGAAGCTGAACTGCAGTCTGTCTCCCTCCACTCACATGACTGGTGTCTCCCTCATCGGGAGCTGCGAGAAGCCAGCGACTCTCTGGGGTCTTGTTCCACGTTTGGCACAAAGCTAGACACTGAATGTTTGCTGAGAAAATGCAAGAGTGGGAGGGAGGGGACGCTCAGTCTGGGAGGTCTCGATGCGATCTGGGGAAGGGCTCTTGGGCGGGCACAGAGCCGGACAGCTGAGGCTTCTGGGCCAGTGGAATCATGAGGACAGAGACACCACAAAGGCAGAAGCAGTCCTGGCCATGGTGCCCAGGGCACTGATTGCCCTCCTGTATGGCCAGTGGTCCCTGGAGACAGGAGAGGGGTCCTTGTGCCTGATTCGACCTCAGGGGGACACAGCCTTCCCCTCTTTTCTCCACCCCCCTCCAGCCCCCACTCCCCCCTATCCAACAGGCCACCCCTGACGACTTTGTCCCCCAAGACCACCTCTGGTGGACCCTGCTGTGGCAGTGCTGGGCTTCTCTGAGGAGATCCGCGGAGCTAGGGGCCCGGGTAGCAGACTCCCTGAAAGGTGATAACCCTGGCTGAGCCTGGCTGGGGTCAGACCTATGGTCACCACAGGAAGACCAGGACTGGTGCACTGTGGGAATAAACACACCTGGAGTCCACACCTGCTGCGGGGTGCTAAAAGGAGGATTCATGGTTGAGTCACGGGCCCAGGTCACCACAGGAAGACCAGGACTGGTGCACTGTGGGAATAAACACACCTGGAGTCCACACCTGCTGCGGGGTGCTAAAAGGAGGATTCATGGTTGAGTCATGGGCCCAGAGACAACCTAACAGGAACAGGAAGCCACAGCTGGGTGTCAGGACACCTGAGCCTGTCCAGGGGAGGGGCTTGGCAAGTCAGTCACACACAGCACACGCACAGACATGCACAAACTGTACACACATCACAGGCACAGACACACACATGTGCAAACATACAAAAGCACATACATCACACTCACAGACACCCACACACATGCACATACAGAAACAAACACACCACACACACACATGCACAACCACACACCAAACACAAACGCACCAGACACACACATCTCATGTACATGCAGAAATATATAAACACAGAGCACACGCACATGCACAGACATACACACAGACACATCACATGCACACACACACCACTCACACATATACACACCACACACACACATGCACAAACAGCACATACACAGAGAAACAACCGCACCACATGCACACATCACAGACACACACAGGGGCTCCTGGCTCTTCTATCCCCTTTCCTTCATCCCTCCACCCTGGTCCCTCAGAAAAGCCTCCCCACTCGCTCTTGTCCACTCCCCAACCAGTCACCGCTTCCCTCGGAGCAATGACCAGAACCCAACAGCTGCCCCTCCAGGACCTGACGCAAGCCCTTGCTCCTCTCTCTCAGGCTGAAGGCGTGAAGGCCGAGCCGTTTGAAAACCACTCAGCCCTGGAGATCGCAGAGCAGCTGACCTTGCTGGACCACCTTATCTTCAAGAAGATCCCCTACGAGTAAGTCGGAGCGCAGGCCCGGCTCCCCAGCACCCTCTCCGGGCTCACCCGAGGCAGGTGCTGCCGACTGCGAGAGCAGGGCATAGAACTGCAGGGCTGGGGAAGCCTCCGTCCCCCTTTCCCCGAGGTCCTCTACTCACAACTCTCTCTGTCTCTGTCTCTGTCACACACACACACACACACACACACACACACACACACACGCTTCCAGAAGCACCTCTAACTCTGAGCTCCAGATCTAGACAGCTGTTGAGAACAGAGTGTGTGCTTGAGGATGCACATAATTTTGTGAGTGAGTGAGTGTGCACCCACACGCAGCACACACACCACCGCCTGAAGTGGAGTGGACCTCTTGGGAAGCTGCTTCGCTCACGTGACCATTGGAAACCCCGAGCCACGCTGAGGATAAAGATGAAGTTTCAGCCCTCATGAAGGGTTACAGCCTCAGAAACCCGCAGGACATTCTACTTTGTCCTGTAGGCTCTCCATGAGTCAGATTCAACTTCACAGCAGTGAGGGAGGGAGTGAGTGAGTGAGTGAGTGAGTGGTAGTGAGTGAGTGAGTGAGTGGAGTGAGTGAGTGAGTGAGTGGAGTGAGTGGAGTGAGTGAGTGAGATGAGTGAGTGAGTGAGTGAGTGAGTGAGTGAGTGAGTGGAGTGAGTG